CTAGAATATGACACTCTCAGAAACATACTATGCCACCACCAACACATCAGTATGCTTTACAACACTTAGAATTACTTCATCACCTAATACAGCAATTCATTATGGATCACTTTTTAAAGAACAAGATTCAAAAAAATTACAAATGTACCTTAATCGCCCAAGTAGAACTGTTGTTGAAAATGAATTTCTACCAAGACAACCTTACTTAACTATACACACTTCAAGAACTAGTGTTTTAAAGGATGAAGCGATTTTCAAACAAAATACTGTTTCACTTATCAAACAATACAACCACTTTAAACAAGAAAAATAGTTACTATTGAAATTTTAAATTATAATCTTAACTTGATAAGAATAGTAATAGGTTCTACTCTCATAACTGGGAAGTTTACTAAAAAAGTATGCTGAAATTGTATTATTGTTTACTATTATCCTTTAATTAGTTTTTATTCTTATCTTTTATTTGAACTTTTCTAAAAAAAATAAGATTTAATCTATACTTGTATCTTAACAAAGGGATTTTAACTAGTCTGAATGAAAAGAAACAAAGTTTAAAGAAAGGTGAATGACTAAGATTTAATTTAATGTAATTTATACCAAATAATGAATATAAGGAATATAACAACAATAATTAATACTAATAATATTACTAACCTCTTTTTATCTCCAGAAATTTGATATTTCCCTGCTTCATCAATCTCCATAGCTGATTTAGCTGTATATTCTTCAGCGTTTTGATAATTATATTCAAGTTGATCAATGACTGTTTGTTGTGTTTTTGTTATACTATTCATCATAGAAATTCCAGTATTAATTTCTTTCATTTTTGTATTAACGTCTTTGATTCGTTGAGTTTTATCATTGTCTACTTGAACAAGTAATAAATCATTTTCATCATATGGATTATTGCTTTGCATAAAGAAATATTTTTTTAAGATTAGTTTTCATATTATATTTTATAATAAAAATAACATTAAAAAAATAAAAAAGAACTAGTACAATTGAAATTCATTATTCTTCATTTTGACTCTTTTCATAAAACCATATTATTCATGTAAATGTTAACCTCTCTCTAATAATCATCTCTTCTTTTTTGTTCCTTTTCTTTTAGAACAATACTGTCGTTCATAATTGCTGGAGAAACAGACCCTTCACTTAAGGTGATAGGCTCATTTTGTGATTTTGTTACATTTTGTTTGAAAATAAAAGAGAGTCTTCCTTTCTTTTTTGAAGTTTGTTCACTAGGAGTAGCTGGTCCAATAGATGAGTCTGTTGAACCTGAACTAATATTAGATTGATGGGTAAATATGTCATTATCTCTGATTGACTCTCCATAACAAATAGAACTATTTCTTGGGTGTGAACGTTTATTTAAACCTATAGCTCCAAGAACAACATCTTTCATACTTTTTCTTTTAGTTTTATAATCTAAATCTTTCCAAGCTTCTTCACTACAAATAATTCTACTTGTACTAGCTATATTAATTGATTTATTTTTAATAGATTGTTTTGGATAAAGAAGGAGAGGATCATTCTTTGCGTCTTCTATTAGTTGTTTAAAAGCTGTTTTATCATTTTCTTCAAGTCCAAGAAAATCTATTTCATCTGGGGACATTGACATAAAATGTTCTACTTTACAATACCCATAAGAGATAAAGAGCTCAGTGAGGTGTTGGAGATTTCTTTGTTTAAGAAATTGACTAATTTCATCAATAGAATTTGTTTGATATTCAATCGGGCGTTGTTTTTCTAACTCATCTCCATTGAAATAGCACTGTAATTCTGGAATAAATTCAATCAAAAAGTTAATAATTTCATCTGTCAATTCATCACTATGAGTTTTTTCTAAATCATTTCCACCTCCCTCAATAACTCCAAGCCCTCCTTTATTTTGAATTAATGAATATAGTTTTCTAATATATTTCTTTTCAGTTAATAATTGACCAAAGATAATAGCAACAGGTGAAGTAACAGCTTTGATATGACTTGCTTTATGGAATGGAGAACGTGTTAAAATTGATGCATTTACTATTGGATTAATTAATATAACTCCACCCACTTCATTTTCTTTACGAGTTTCAAATGCTTGAAATAACGTTGGTCCACAACCTGCTCCTTTTCCATAAAGGACTATTGATTTTGGTGGTTGTTTCATTTCTTCTAATATGTAATTAAATACTTTTGTAATAATACCTGCAACTAAGGTG